CTCCTCTTGTGGTGCGGTTGCAATAAGTGGTGGAAATCAAATTTTGGGGTACACGTGTGAAAGTTTACCTGTCACGTGACTTTGTCTTTGTATATTTGGCCCAGCCCACTTAATCACAATGGGCTATAGCTCAGTTACTGTGAATTATATACCTTAAACCCAATTGTATTGGACCGAATCTAACCGATCGGTTTCATTATATCTTTGTTTTGTTTTGTTTGTTTAACTTTAACACACTCTGATTTTCTCTTTTATTCTAGTAAGACGGTAAATATGGAAGATTCTTATTTGTATAAAATGGAAGTTTAATTATAATTTGACTGGTAATAAATAGATATTGTTACAGTAAATATGGAAGTTTAATTATAATTTTGACTGGTAATAAATATTGTTACCTTAAATAGTAGAATTTGAATATTATGCCATTTTGGATTTTCTGACTAATATTTAGAAACAATTTGATTTTTGAATCCAGTCAAAGATGTGGAGTATACTATTGCAAGAATCCAATAGTATAAGTTGTCCAAAAATTCATTAAAGTTTATAGTGTATTTCGAGTTCTATAGTTACAAAATTTAACAGAAAATTTAAAACGTAATGCAAATAGAACCGTTTGTGTTAGTTTGCTAAAAGAAGTCCTTCAAATTACATTTTTTATTGTATACTTGTATGCATCTTTCTACCAAGTTAACTCTTCATTTGTTTACCAAGAATTATGTAACTTCAGTTCAAGTAAATCACTGTCTTCTTCACACATAGTAATAACACAACGAAACTTTATATAATTCACCATGGACCCACTCAATCACAAAACAACACTATTACATCAAAACATTATATGAACACAACAACAACACGAGATCAAACAAAGATAAGACAAAAGACAAAGACTTTTCGTTAAACAACAAGATAAGAACAAGAACCTTATCATTCAATGACAAGCGAATCAGAACCAAAAAAACAACAAGAACACGATATTCTCAATAGTCCAGACATATCACATCATAAATTTTAATATCCATCACACAGCAATGTCATTGCGGATGTGTCGGAGAAGCACCGGAATAACAGAATCCGGCGAGCTAAGCTGAGGAAGATGACCATCAGAAGGCATAACTTCAACGACTGATTCAGATCCAAGATTTGTATGAAGATACTCAGAGACAACCACTGGTACAGCTAAATCTTTAACACTTTGAAGTATGTGACAAGGAACAGCGACAAATGGTAAGATCTGTCTCATGTCACTTTGGAAAATGGTTTGAGCCACTGATAGAGCTATGTCTGGACGCATGTTGAATAGTGTTCTGCTGAATTCTTGAACCGCGACTGAGTCCATGTCACCACCTACGGCTAGTGGTGCAAAACCTAAGCACCACGCTTTGTAATTGCTTCTCATTGCTTCGAATAGTTGGTTTAGATCGTCTTGTTCGAATCCTCCTTGGTAATCAACATCATTCACGTACCTAAAAGCACATAAAAAAAATCATTCAAAAATTAAATTAATGTATAAACTATGTAACAAGAATTTTAACAAAATCAAATATACAAATGGGTATTTCTGATCAAAATTTACGGATTTTATATTGACAATATATTAGGTATAGTGATTTTAAGAAATAGGATAATTCAGACAAGAAAAGGAACAGAGAGGATCTTTGTCGGAAGAAGATTAAAATAAGCAAAAACCCAGCAAAAATCTCTATGAATCTTAACCAAATAATTGTAAAGTAGAGATGATTCTGTAATAAAGTTTACGGATTTTAGATTTATTTCTTTAAAAATTCGTACTTTTGAATTGTTTTTGTGAAATCAGAGAGACCCTTTTGTCGAAATTATGTGAAAATGAGAGATATATAGAAGCAAAAAAGATTTTCGAAATCTGTGAAAAAGATTATACCTTGGAGAAGCAGAGATCATGACGATTTTGGAGAAGAGATCAGGACGATTAAGAGAAGCAAGAACACCAACCATGGCAGAAAGAGAGTGACCAACAAAGATACAAGACTGGATTTGAAGATCTTCCAAGATTGCAATCAAATCAAAAGAGAAACCTTCAAGAGTCGAGTAACGATCGAAATCGAAATAATCCGGGTTAGTCGTACCGGCTCCCATGTTGTCGTAGAGAACGATCCGGTAATCGTCAAGGAGATGTGGAACTAAGTGTTTCCAAACTGATTGGTCCGTGCCGAATCCGTGACCTAACACGATCGTGGCTTGGTTTCCTGAACCAATCACCTTCACGTTGTGAGCTTCTTCGACTACACCCA